TAATTACAGTGTCCATTAAAAGTAGCACAGGAGTAGCTTAGAATGGTGAGAGTTTAGATTGCAAGGCAGGAAGTGGTAAAACTGTGGGCCGAAAAGGGAAATAAGGGACCACATTATGAAACACCTTGTATCCTGTGTTAGTATATTGACTCTATTTTTGTTGGGAATAGTTAGCCGTTGAAAAGATTTAAGCAAGGGTATAATCTGCCTTTATAAATTTTTACTTCGAAAAATAATATTTGCTCATTAAAAACTACGAAGATATATATTCCTTTTGAAAGAAACCCTTTCATGGACCCCCTCCAGTCTATCTCCTCAGGGATGTCCATACTTCTAACCATTTATAACAATTGGGAACCTTTTTCTTTGTAAGTACAATGCTTTGTTGTTTTGGTCTCTTTTTCCAAATCTGTCTCAGTGCTTGTTATGATTTTGTAGTTGAGAGCATGATCCCTTATTAAACTTTTGTTATATAATTAAGAACTAACAAAACAGATCTTAGGGTTGAACCTTAGAAAATGCATCTTGTTCTCAAGAAATTCCTAGGGTATTATTGGTACAGAATACTTTAATTTTTCCTTCATTCTCCAGAAGCAACTTAGGAGGCCACCCAATTAAGGAGTCAGAACTTTTGTAACTTATTTGAGAAGATAATTGAGAAAAGCTATGAGAAACAGTTCCAACATCAGCCAGAAAATTTCAATTATTGTCTTCAGTCTGACTTGTACTGTTTTCTGCTTTGCACTGTCCTTTGAATTAAAATCTGTTGGAATTACTCTGCCTTAGACCAAGTAACAGGACCAAACTGATACATTTCTGTAAACACTAGTTAATTTTTCTTAGTTTAAATTGTGATCAGTGTAGACTAATCTAAGGATGAAACAAATGTGATTAAAACAGCATTTTAAATGAATTTTCAGGTTTGCATGTTTGATAACATATTCTTTCTTCCCCCTCCTTAATTTTCAGCATACTTTATTTTTTTTTGCATAAAATTTATACTGTATCAGAATTTATGGCAAAATTCAATAAGTTTTGGTTATACATGTTTGTTTATTATATATTTATTCCATTCTTTGTTTTTTCAATAATTTAAACATAAAATTTGATTTTTTTTGGTGGATGCATAATTTATTTTTACTATATTTAAAAAAATGAGTCAAATTATTTTTAACACCTGAAGGAAGAAAAAGCAATTTTCTACCCACTTTTTGGGAATGACTTAACAAGGAGAGATGAAAAATGATATACACAACAATCATCTTTCTTTTGTTAGCACTTGGTAGTTTAAAATATTTCATCTTGATAGTTTTTAAAATGAAAATATAAAGGTAGATGAAAGCTGGCAATATTTGTGAGTTCAGGTTAATGATCAGTTTGTAGTTATACTAATAGAATATGCTAAAAAATTCAGAGTTTTAGGACGTCAGAAAGTTGGTTGTGGAAACTCTTTTGTATCTGACTAAAATTTTTATCCTGATTCTTATATTATTAGGCTTTAACTTTTCAAATAAAACAAGTTGTTCTTTCTATTAAGTTTCGTCTTCTGAGGGCCGGGCGCGGTGGCTCAAGCCTGTAATCCTAGCACTTTGGGAGGCCGAGGCGGGTGGATCACAAGGTCAAGAGATCGAGACCATCCTGGTCAACATGGTGAAACCCCGTCTCTACTAAAAATACAAAAAATTAGCTGGGCATGGTGGCGCGTGTCTGTAGTCCCAGCTACTCAGGAGGCTGAGCCAGGAGAATTGCCTGAACCCAGGAGGCGGAGGTTGCGGTGAGCCGAGATCGCGCCATTGCACTCCAGCCTGGGTAACAAGAGCGAAACTCCGTCTCAAAAAAAAAAAAAAAAAAAAAAAAGTTTCGTCTTCTGAGCAGTGTAATTTTGTACATAAAAACCATATTTGAAACAATTGACATTTGTCTTCATATATAATTATTTTTGTGTATAAAGTTTCTGTCATTCCAAGAGCTGAGTACATATCCCATAATAGCATGTGTGTGTGTGTGTGTGTGTGTGTGTGTATCAAAACTCAATTAACTACATATGTTGGGAAAGAAAGAAAACTGAAATGATGGACACTTCAAATTTAAAATTATATTCTAAAGTAATGCTGCCCATTGGAAATATAATACAGATCACAAATACAAGCCACACATGTAATTATATAGTTTTTGGTAACCAGTTTAAAGAAGAAAAACAAATGAAATTTATTTTAATAGTATATATTTAAGAGTATTATCATTTCTACATATAGTAAGTATAAAACATTGTGAAATATTTTGCATTATTTTTGTTTTTGAATCAAGTGTTCAAAATCCAGTGTATGTTTCACAATTATAGCATATCCAGCTTGAACTACCCACGTTTCAAGCTTCTCAATACCTGTATATGGCTAGTGGCCACCATAATGAATAGCATAGTTTCAAAGTTGCAGTTAAGTATTCCCTTGTTTCTTTTTATTACTGCTTCCTTTCATGTATTCAGTCATTTATGGAACTGTAATCCCAAATTGGTTAAATTGTGAAAATTACTTGTTTACATAAAGGAATCAAGTATCCATGGCTGATAAGATAGGGATGGAAAAGTTGGATCTTCTAATGTTTCTTCTTTTTTTTTTAACTCTGGAATGCATTTTCATTTTTTAAAAATGCATCTTCTCTTTGAAAAAAAATTCTTGGCAGACTTTCAAATGCCTCTTTTAAAGGGCCGGTGCTCTGGATATTGAGGTTTAAGTTTAATGAACTTCTAGCAAAAATAAAAACATTGTTTCAAATTTTTGAGAAATGTTGTTTCTTAAAATGTGTTCTTTGAAGATTTCATATGCTTATATATTTTAGGATGTAATTTTTTGTTTTTGTCTTCCCAAATTAGGCGTTTTTGGTTTGAATATCACACAAAAAGAAATCCTCTGAGAAAGCATTAGAAACACACGTATACTGCTGTTTTCCATTTTCAATCACTGATAAATGGAATGTTCTTATTACCAACAGAGAATGTGTAGAACATTTAATTCTCCCAACAACCTAATTGTGTGGGTGACATTGTCTTCTTTCTATGGGCTGGGTAAATAGACTTGGAAACATTTGATTGAATTGCCCAAAGAGTTAAGTGATAAATTTGAGTCACAAATCTCACTGTACAATATACTCTTCTTCTGTCCCCAGTTAGAGAAAGTTGTGATTAATGAAAAAAAAAATACACTTTTTTTTTTTTTTTTTGCTTTAAGTTCAGGGACACATGCAGAATGTACAGGTTTGTTACCTGGGTAAACATGTATTATGGAGATTTGTTGTATGAATTATTTCATCACCCAGGTATTAAGCCTAGTATCCATTAGGTATTCTTCCTGACCCTCTCTCTCCTCTCACTCTGCACCCTCCAGTAGGCCCCAGTGTGTGTTGTTCCCTTCTATGTATCCATGTGTTCCTATCATTTAGCATCCACTTAGAAGTGAAATTGTGTGTTATCTGATTTTCTGTTGCCATGTTAGTTTGCTAAGGATAATGGCCTCCAGCTCCATTCATGAACCTGCAAAGGACATGATCTCGTTCCTTTTTATGGCTTTATAGTATTCCATGGTTTATATGTTTCACATTTTCTTTATCCAGTCTATCACTGATGAGCATTTGGGTTGATTCCATGTCTTTGCTATTGTGAATAGTGCTACAATGAATATATATTTACATGTGTCTTTATAATAGAGTGATTTCTCTTCCTTTGGGTATATACCCAGTAATGGTACCCAAAGGAATATACCATTCCTTTGGTATTTGAGTCGAATGGTATTTCTGACTTTAGGTCTTAGGAATCGCCACATTGTCTTTCACAATGGTTGAACTAATTTACACTCCTACTAACAGTGTATATGTGATCTTTGTTCTCCACAACCTTGCCAGCATCTGGTTTTTTTGTTTTTTGTTTTTGACTTTTTAATAATAGTCATCCTAACTGATGTGTGATAGTATCTCATTGTACCCCATTAAAAAGTGGTAAAAGGACATAAACACTTTTCAAAAGAAGACATACATATGCTCAACAAACATATGAAACAGCTTGACATCACTGATCATGAAAGAAATGCAAATTGAAAACATACATTTTCACATTTCAAATAATCCCAAATATCTTGCCACAAATGACTTGAATATCACAATGTTTTGTCCAGTGTTTGTTATGCACCACGCTGATGCTGATGATGCTCATGTTTGAATTCTGACTTGCTGTCTTATCTAAACAGTTAAAAATAGTTAAGGCCTGACACTGCTGTCTTTTAAAGCTGTGTAGAATCATTCCATGTAAACTATTACGGTATCATTTTTGATAGATCAGAATATTTTTTACCTTTCTTAAAATACTGCACACCTTTCTTAATAGAAATCTATTTAGAGCTCTAAATAAAATTTGATATTCTACTAAATATTGTAAAGTCCTTTCTTAATATTGAAAATAACTAAAGAATGCTATGGACCCCCTTGTGTTAGAATGAATAAGTAACACAACATTTGGTACAGCTTTCACTTTATGTTATTCCTGTTTCTTTTTTAGCCCCTCGGAAACCAAGCCCTAAGGGTCTACCAAACAGGAAGGGAGTCCGAGTGGGATTTCGCTCCCAGAGCCTGAATAGAGAGCTGCTTCGGAAAGATACCAATCTTGTTACAAAACGAGTTCTGTCTGCAAGACTGCTAAAAATCAATGAGTTGCAGAATGAAGTATCTGAACTCCAGGTCAAGTTAGCTGAGCTGCTAAAAGAAAATAAATCTTTGAAAAGGCTTCAGTACAGACAGGAGAAAGCCTTGAATAAGTTTGAAGATGCCGAAAATGAAATCTCACAGCTTATATTTCGTCATAACAATGAGATTACAGCACTCAAAGAACGCTTAAGAAAATCTCAAGAGAAAGAACGGGCAACTGAGAAAAGGGTAAAAGATACAGAGAGTGAACTATTTAGGACAAAATTTTCCTTACAGAAACTGAAAGAGATCTCTGAAGCTAGACACCTACCTGAACGGGATGATTTGGCAAAGAAACTAGTTTCAGCAGAGTTAAAGTTAGATGACACCGAGAGAAGAATTAAGGTACGATTTCTCCAGTTTCTAATTGTGCTTTCTTGGGATGTTTCTCATTGGGCATTTAATGTGCTGGTTTGGCATTTGCTTGGAAATAAAAACTATTTTTAGTATTGTTTTTCCAAGTAAAACATTTGGGAATATGTAGGATTATGTATTTAAGAGGAAGATCCAAAAGATTGTGTATATTAAATGACCTACATGTTGAATGATAGATCATAGTCATTTGGGGAAAATATTCTATTTCGTTATCTGATTGTTTCTCTAAAATAGGAAATGACACTGCAATAGCCATATTATATAAAACTAACCTTTTTGGGCCACTGTGTAAGAAATGCCACATCAACAATGCCTTTTGTTTTTACATTGATGCACATTATTTATCAAAGATTGTAGTACATCTTTTGGGACGCGGTATGCACCGATTCCCCTGAATAAAAACCGTTAGGGGAGACAATCCAAGATGGTCAAATAGGAACAGCTCTGGAGTGCAGTTCCCAGCGAGAACAACGCAGAGGGTGAGTGATCACTGTATTTCCAAACGAGTTATTACTGCCCACACACCAGGAGATTCCCAGGCTGAAAAGCACCACAAGTTTTCAGCATGCCTGTTTCAGCTGGCACAGCGAGTCTCTGCACAAAAACTCACACATATCTGGGTGGCCATTTCAGCTGGCGCCTGAAACACCTGGGAGACACAGCTGCCCATTCAGCTGAAAAAAGTGGGCTGAAACAGGGAGCCAAGTGATCTTGCTCAGCAGGTCCCACCCCAACAAAGACCAGCAATCTGAAACGCTCTGGATTGAGAGTTTCGCAGCAAGCACAGCTGGACCCAGGACAGTCCAGCTCTGTGGGGCGAAGGGCATCTGCCATTACCAAGGCAGTCCACCATTACCAAGGCAATCTGCAAATACTGAGGCAGTCTGACATTATAGGGGCAGCCTGCCATTACCGAGGCAGACCGCCATTACCAAGGCAGTTCTAACTATACCTCTGTAAAAAAAACCTCAAGGAAGTTCACACAGCAGCTGGGCAGAGCCCACAGCAGCTCTGCAATACCTCTGCTGGCAGACTGTGACTAGGCTACCTCCTTGCTGGGCAGGCATCTCTGAAAAAAGGTAGCAGCATGTCAGGAATTTATAAATAAAGCCCCACCCTCCCAGGAGAGAGCACCTGGGAAAAAAGGCAGGTATGAGTTCCACTGCAGCAGACTTAAATGTACCTGCCCAGCAGCTCTGAACAGAACAACAGAGGTCACAGCTCAACACTTGAGCTGCTGTAAGGGACAGACTCTCTCCTCAAGCAGCTCCCTGACTCACGTATATCCAAAGAGACACCGCATAAAGGAGAGCTCAGGCTGACATCTGACAGGTATCCTTCTGGGATGAAGATAACAGAAGCTGGCATCAACCCTTAGTGTTCTGAAGCCACCACAGGTGATCCCCAGGCAAGCAGGATCTGGAGTGGACCTACAGCAGAGAGGCCTAACTGTTAGAAGGAAAACTAAAAAAAACAGAAAGAAATAACTTCAACATCAACAAAAAGGACGTCCACTCAGAGACCCCATCTGAAAGTCACCAACTACAAATACCATAGGTAGATAAATCCACAGAGATGGGAAGAACCCAGCACAAAAAGGATGAAAACAGCAAAAACCAGAATGCCGCTCCTCCTCCAAGGGATCACAACTCTCACCAGCAAGGGAACAAAGCTAGATGCAGAATGAGTCTCATGAATTGACAGGAACAGGCTTCAGAAGGTGGGTAATAAACTTCTCTGAGCTTAAATAACATATTCTGACCCAGTGCAAAGAAACTAAGAACCTTGAAAAAAGGTTTCACGAAATGCTAACAATAATAAACAGCTTAGAGAAGAATATAAATGACTTAATGGAGCTGAAAAACAACACGAGAACTTTGTTAAGCATATGTAAGTTTCAGTAGTCGAATCGAGCAAGCAGAAGAAAGGATATCAGAGATTGAAGATCAACTCAATGAAATAAAACGAGAAGGCAAGATTAGAGAAAAAAAGAGTGAAAAGAAATGAACAAAGCCTTCAAGAAATATGGGATTATGGGGAAGGATCCAAGATGGCTGATTAGGAGCACCTCAGGATTGCAGCTCCCAGCGAAAGCACAGAGGGTGAGTGGAGGCTGCATTTCCAGATGGATTTTTATTGCCCACAGACCAGGAGATTCCCAGGCAGAGAAGCCCCACGGGTCGCCAGCGCGGCTGGTTTGGCTGGCGCGGCTGTTTGGCCAGCGTGGCTGTTTTCGCTGGTGCGGCTGTTTTGCCAGTGGTTCTCCGTAAAAAATATACGGGTCCGGGTGCTGTTTTAGCTGGCAATTGGAGCTCCTGGCAGACAGAGGCACCCATTCAACTGATTAAAAAGGGGACTGAAGCAGGGAGCCAGGCCAGGAGGTCCCTGGGCAAAAAAGTGCCACGAATCTCAGAGTGGCTGTGTCAACCAGCGCAGTGCAGTGGGTCATTGCATGGGAAATCACACAGATCCCAGCACCTTTTCAACAGGTGACTGGAACACCAGGTAGACAAGAGTCGACCATTCAACTAAAAAAAAAGGGCTCTGAGGCAGGGAGCCAGGTGATCAGGCTCGGCTGGTCGAACCCCCACAAAAAAACAGCAATTGGAAACACTGGATTGAGAGTTTCACAGCAAGCATAGCCTAACCTGGGATGGTCCAGCTCTGTGGGGGAGGGGTGTCCGCCATTACCGAGGCAGTCCACCACTACAGAGGTAGTCCACCATTGCTGAGGCAGTGTGCCATTACACAGAGAGTCCTCAATTATAGAGGTGGGCCACCATTTCCGAGGCAGTTCTAACTACACTTGTATAAACAGGACTGCAGGGAAGTTCACACGGCAGCTGGGCAGAGCCCACAGCAGCTCAGCAAAGCCTCTGCAGGCAGATAGTGACCTGGCTGCCTCCTCGACGGGCAGGGCAGCCCTGAAAAAAGACAGCAGCACAACAGAAACTCATAAATAAAGCCCTAACTCCCCGGGACAAAGCACCTGGGAAAAAATTAAAAAAGTAACGGGGGGGTTATGAGTTCTGCTGCAGCAGACTTAAACGTACCTGCCTAGCAGCTCTGAATGAACAATGGAGCTCACAGCTCAGCACTTCAGCTCCCTTTATAAAGGAGAGACTGTCTCCTGAAGCAGCTCCCTAACCCCATATATCCAAAGAGTCACCTCATAAAGGAGAGCTCAGACTGACATCTGGTGGGTATCCTTCAGGGACAAAGATAGCAGAAGAAGAAACTGGCAGCAACCCTACTGTTCTGCAGCTGCTGCAGGTGATTCCCAGGCAAGCAGGGCCTGTGTGGACCTCAGGAGTCCTACAGCAGAGTGACCAGACTGTTAGAAGGAAAATGAAGAAACAGAAAGAAATAACTTTATCATCAACAAACGGGACGTCCACTCAGAGACCCAATCTGAAAGTCAACAATTACAAAGACGACAGGTGGATAAATCCACAAAGATGGGAAGAAACCAGTGCAAAAAGGATGAAAACACCCGACACCAGAACGCCTCTCCTCCTGCAAGGGATCACAACTCCTCACCAGCAAGGGGACAAGACTGGATGGAGAATCAGTGTGATGAATTGACAGAATCAGGCTTCAGAAGGTGGATAAAAAGAAACTTCTGTGAGCTAAAAGAACATGTTCTAACCCAATGCAAAGAAACTAAGAACTTGAAAAAAGATTTGACGAAATGCTAATGAGAATAAACAACTTAGAGAGGAATATAAGTGAATTGATGGAGCTGAAAAACACAACACGAGAACTTCATGAAGCATACACAAGTTTCAACAGTCGAATTGACCAAGGAGAAGAAAGGATATCAGAGGTCGAAGATCAACTCAATGAAATAAAACGAGAAGGCAAGATCAGAGAAAAAAGGGTAAAAAGGAATGAATAAAGTCTCCAAGAAATATGGGACTCTGTGAAAATACCTAATCTATGTTTGATAGTTGTACCTGAATGTGACGGAGAGAATGAATCCAAGCTGGAAAATACTCTTCAGGATATTATCCAGGAAAACTTCCCCAACCTAGCAAGGCAGGCCAATGTTCAAGTCCAGGAAATGCAGAGAACACCACAAAGATATTCCTCAAGAAGAGCAACCCCAAGGCACATAATTGTCAGATTCACCAGGGTTGAAATGAGAAAATGCTAAGAGCAGCCAGAGAGAAAGGTCGGGTTACCCACAAAGGGAAGCCCATCAGACTCACAGCAGATCTGTCGGTAGAAACCCTACAAGCCATAAGAGAGTGGGGGCCAATATTCAACATCCTTAAAGAAAAGAACTTTCAACCCAGAATTTCATATCCAGCCAAACTAAGCTTCATAAGTGAAGGAAAAATAAAATCCTTTGTGAACAAGTGGGTACTCAGAGATTTCATCACCACCAGACCTGCTTTACAAGAGCTCCCGAAAGAGGCTCCACACATAGAAAGAAACAACCAGTACCAGCCACTCCAAAAACATACCACATGGTAAAGAGCATCAACACAATGAAGAATCTGCATCAATTGACAGGCAAAACAGCCAGCTAGCATCAAAATGGCAGTATCAAATTCACACGTAATAATATTAACACTAAATGTAAGTGAACTAAATGCCCCAATCAAAAGACACAGACTGGCAAATTGAATAAAAAGCCAAAACCCATCGGTGTGCTGTATCCAGAAAACCCTTCACACATGCAAGGATACACAAAGGCTCAAAATAAAGGGATGGAGGAAGATTTACCAAGCAAATGGAGAGCAAAATAAAGGCAGGAGTTGCAATTATCGTCTCTGATAAAATAGACTTTAAAGCAACAAAGATCAAAAGAGACAAAGAAGGACATTATATAATGGTAAAAGGATCAATGCAACAAGAAGAGCTAACAATCCTAAATATATATGCACCCAATACAGGAGCACCCAGATACATAAGGCAAGTTCTTAAGGACTTACAAAGAGACTTAGACACCCACACAATTATAGTGGGAGACTTTAACACCCCATTGTCAATATTAGACAGATCAACCAGACAGAAAATTAACAAATATATCCAGGACTTGAACTCAGACCTGGACCAAGCAAACCTAACAGACATTTACAGAACTCTCCACCCCAAATCCACAGAATATACATTCTTCTCAGCACCACATCACACCTACTCTAAAATTGACCGCATAATTGGGAGTAAATCACTCCTCAGCAAATGCAAAAGAACGGAAATCATAACAAACAGCCTCTCAGAAAACAGTGCAATCAAGTTAAAACTCAGAATTCATAAACTAACTCAGAACCGCACAGCTTCATGGAAACTGAAAAACTGGCTCCTGAATGTTGACTGGATAAACAGTGAAATGAAGGCAAAAATAAAGATGTTCTTTGAAACCAACAAGAACGAAGACACAGCACGACAGGATCTCTGGGACACATTTAAAGCAGTCTCTAGGGGAAAATATGTAGCAATAAATGCCCACATGAGAAGCAAGGAGAGATCTAAAATTGACACCCTATCGTCAAAATGGAAAGAGCTAGAGGAGCAAGATAAAAAAAAACTCAAAACCTAGCAGAAGACAAGAAATAACTAAGATCAAAGCAGAACTGGAGGAGATAGAGAGACAAAAAACCCTTCAAAAAATCAATAAATCCAGCAGCTGATTTTTTGAAAAGATCAACATAATAGAGAGACCACTAGCCATATTAATAAAAAAGAAAAGAGAGAAGAATCAAATAGATGCAATAAAAAATGATAAAGAGGATATCACCACAGATTCCACAGAAATACAAACCATCGTCAGAGATTATTACAAACAACTCTATGCACGTAAACTAGTAAACCTGGAAGAAATTGATAAATTCCTGGACACTTGCATCCTCCCAAGACTAAACCAGGAAGAAGTCGAAACCCTAAATAGACCAATAACAATGGCTGAAGTTGAGGCAGCAATTAAGAGCCTAACACCCAGAAAAAGCCCAGGTACAGACGGGTTCACAGCCGAATTCTACCAGACATACAAAGAAGAGCTGGTACCATTCCTTCTGAAACTATTCCAAACAATCCAAAAAGAGGGAATCCTTCCCAAATCATTTTATGAGACCAACATCATTCTGATACCAAAAACCGCCAGAGACTCAGCAAGAAAAGAAAACTTCAGGACAATATCCATGATGAACATAGATGCAAAAAGCTTCAATAAAATACTGGCAAACCGATTGCAACAGAACATCAAAAAGCTTATCCACCATGATCAAGTAGGATTCATCCTGGGGATGCATGGCTGGTTCAACATACGCAAGTCCATAAATGTAATTCACCACATAAACAGAACCAAAGACAAAAACCACATGATTATCTCAATTGATGCAGAGAAGGCCTTTGACAAAATTCAACAGCCCTTTGTGCTAAAAACTCTCAATAAACTAGGTATTGACCGAACATATCTCAAAATAATAAAAGCTATTTATGACAAACCAACAGCCAATATCATACTGAATGGCAAAAACTGGAAGCCTTTCCTTTGAAATCTGGCACTAGACAAAGATACCTTCTCTCACCACTGTTATTTTATTGGAAGTTCTAGCCAGAGCAATCAGGCAAGAAAAAGAAATAACGGGTATTCAAATAGGAAAGGAAGATGTCAAATTGTCTCTATTTGCAGACGACATGATTGTATATCTAGAAGACCCCATCGTCTCAGCCCAAAATCTCTTGAAACTGATAAGTGACTTCAGCAAAGTGTCAGGATACAAAATCAGTGTGCAGAAATCACAAGGATTCCTATACACCAATAACAGACTTAAAGAGAGCCAAATCAAGAATGAACTGCCATTCACAATTGCTACAAAGAGAATAAAATACCTAGGAATACAGCTAACAAGGAACATAAAGGACCTCTTCAAGGAGAACTACAAACCACTGCTCAACAAAATAAGAGAGGACACAAACAGATGGAGAAACATTCCATGTTCAAGTATAGGAAGAATCAATATTGTGAAAATGGCCATACTGCCCAAAGTAATTTACAGATTCAACGTTATCCCCATCAAGCTACCAATGACCTTCTTCACAGAACGGGAAACAACCACCTTAAACTTCATATGGAACCAAAAGAGAGCCCACATAGCCAAGTCAATTCTAAGCAAAAAGAACAAAGTGGGAGGCATCACACTACCAGACTTCAAACTATGCTACAAGGCCACAGTCATCAAAACAGCATGGTACTGGTACCAAAATAGAGATATAGACCAATGGAACAGAACAGAGGCCTTTGAGGCAACACAACACATCTAGTACCATCCGATCTTTGACAAACCTGACAAAAACAAACAAGGGGGAAAGGAATCCCTGTTTAATAAATGATGTTGGGAACACTGGCTAGCCATGTGCAGAAAGCAGAAACTGGCCCCCTTCCTGACACCTTACACTAAAATTAACTCCAGATGGATTAAAGACTTAAACATAAGACCTAATACCATAAAAAACCCTAGAAGAAAATCTAGGCAAAACCATTCAGGACATAGGCGTAGGCAAGGACTTCATGACCAAAACACCAAAAGCATTGACAACAAAAGCCAAAATAGACAAATGGGACCTAATCAAATTCCACACATTCTGCATAGCAAAAGAAACAGTCATTAGAGTGAATCGGCAACCAACAGAATGGGAAAAAAATCTTTGCAGTCTACCCATCTGACATAGGGCTGATATCCAGAATTTACAAAGAACTAAAACAGATTTACAAGAAAAAAACAAGCCCATTCAAAAATGGGCGAAGGATATGAACAGACACTTTACAAAACAAGACATACATGAGGCCAACAAACATGGAAAAATGCTCATCATCACTGGTCATTAGAAAAATGCAAATCAAAACTACATTGAGATACCATCTCACGCCAGTTAGAATGGCGATCATTAAAAATTCTGGAGACAACAGATGCTGGAGAGGATGTGGAGAAACCGGAACACTTTTACGCTGTTGGTGGGAGTGTAAATTAGTTCAACCATTGTGGAAGACAGTGTGGCGATTCCTCAAGGACCTAGAAATAGAAATTCCATTTGACCCAGCAATCCCATTACTTGGTATATATCCAAGGGATAATAAGTCGTTCTACTATAAGGACACATGCACATGAATGTTCATTGCAGCACCGTTTACAATTGCAAAGACCTGGAACTAACCCAAATGCCCATTGATGATAGACTGGACAGGGAAAATGTGGCACATACACACCATGGAATATTATGCAGCCATCAAAAATGATGAGTTCGTGTCCTTTGTAGGGACATGGATGAACCTGGAAACCATCATTCTCAGCAAATCGTTGACACAAGAACAGAAAATCAAACACTGAATGTTCTCACGCATAGGTGGGTGTTCAACAATGAGAACACATAGACACAGGGAGGGGAGCATCACACAATGGGGTCTGTCGGGGGAGAAGTAGGGGAGGGACAGCAGGAGGTGGGGAGTTGGGGAGAGATAGCATGGGGGAAAATGCCAGATATAGGTGATGGGGAGGAAGGAGGAAATCACACTACCATGTGTGTACCTATGCAACAGTCTTGCATGTCCTTCACATGTACCCCAAAACCTAAAATACAATTAAAAAAAAAGAAATATGGGATTATGTGAAAAGACCTCATCTACATTTGATAGGTGTACCTGAATGTGACGGAGAGAATGAATCCAATCATGAAAACACTCTTCAGGATATTATCCAGGAGAATTTGCCCAACCTAGCAAGGCAAGCCAACATTCAAGTCCAGGAAATAACAGAGAACACCACAAAGATATTCTTCAAAGGGAGCAACACCAAGGCACATAAGCATCCCCAAGTCACATAATTCTCAGATCCAGCAGGGTTGAAATGAAGGAAAAAATGCTAAGGGCAGCCAGAGAGAAAGGTTGGGTAACCCACAAAGGGTAGCCCATCAGACTCACAGCAGATCTCTCATCAGAAGCCCTGCAAGCCAGAAGAGTGAGGGCCAGTATTCAACATCCTTAAAGAAAAGAGCTTTCAACCTAGAATTTCATACCCAGCCAAACTAAGCTTCATAAGCAAAGTAGAAATAAAATCCTTTGCGAATAGTCAATTGCTCAGAAATTCCATCAACACCAGGCCTACTTTACAAGAGCTCCAGAAAGTAGCACTAAACATAGAAAGGAACAAGCAGTACCAGTCATTCCAAAAACGTACCAAATGGTAAAGACCATCGACACAATGAAGAAAATGCATCAACTAATGGGCAAAACATCCAGATAGCATCAAAATGGCAGGCTGAGACTCACACATAACAATATTAACCTTAAATGTAAATGGACTAAATGCCCCAATCAAAAGATACAGACTGACAAATTGCATAAAAAGTGAAAACCCCTTGGTATGCTGTATCCAGGAAACCCTTCTCACATGCAAGGACTCACATAGGCTCAAAATCAAGGGATGAAGAACGATTTACCAAGCAAATAGAGAGCAAAAAAAAGCAGGAGTTGCAATCCTATTCTCTATTAAAATGGACTTTAACGCAGCAAAGATCAAAAGAGACAAAGAAGGGCATTACATAATGGTAAAAGGATCAATGCAACAAGAAGAGTTAATGATCCTAAATATATATGCACCCAATACAGGAGCACCCACATAGATATAGCAAGTTCTTAATGACCTACAAAGAGACTTAGACTCCCACACAATAATAGTGGGAGACTTTAACACTCCACTGTGACTATTAGACAGATCAAGGAGACAGAAAATTAAGGACATCCAGGACTTGAACTCAGATCTGGACAAAGCAGACCTAATAGACATTTACAGAACTCTCCACCCTAAATCCACAGAATATGCATTCTTCTCAGCACCACATCACACCTACTCTAAAATTGACCACATAATTGGAAGTAAATCACCCCTTAGCAAATACAAAAGAATGGAAATCATTGGGCAATCAAATTTGACCACTGGGCAATCAAATTTGAACTCAGAATTAAGAAACTAACTCAAAACCACTCAACTTCATGGAAACTGAATAACTGGCTCTAGAATGTTGACTGGATAAACAATCAAATGAAGACAGAAGTAAAGATGTTCTTGAAAACCAACCAGAATGAAGACACAACGTACCAGAACCTGTGGGACACATTTAAAGCAGCGTCTAGAGGGAAATTTATAGTAATAAATGCCCACATGAGAAGCAAGGAAAGATCTGAAATTGACACCATATCATCAAAATTGAAAGCGCTAGAGGAGCAAGATCAAAAAACCTCAAAAGCTAGCAGAAGACAAGAAATAACTAAGATCAGAGCAGAACTGAATGAGATAGAGACACACACACAAAAAAACCCTTCAAAAAATCACTCCAGGAGCTGGTTTTTTGAAAAGAGCAACAAAATAGGCCATTAGCTAGATTAATAAAAAAGAAAGGAGGGAAGAAACAAATAGATGCAATAAAAAATGATAAAGGGGATGTCACCACAGATTCCACAGAAATACACACTACCATCAGAGATTACTAAAAAGAACTCTATGCACATAAACCAGTAAACCTGGAAGAAATGGAGAAGTTCCTGTAAACTTGCAGCCTCCCAAGCCTAAATCAGGAAGAAGTCGAAACCCTGAATAGACCAATAACAAGGGCTGAAGTTGAGGCAGCAATTAATAACTTGCCAACTAAAAAAAGCTGAGGTCCAGATGGATTCACAGCCAAATTCTACCAGACATACAAAGAGGAGCTGGTACCACTCCTTCTGAAACTATTCCAAACAATACAGAGAGAGGGAATCCTTCCCAAATCATTTTATGAGACCAACATCATCCTGATACCAAAACACAGCAGAGACTCAACAAGAAAAGAAAACTTCAGGCCGGTATCCATGGTGAACATAGATGCAAAAAGCTTCAATGAAATACTGGCAAACCGATTGTGACAGAACATCAAAAAGCTTATCCATCACAATCAAGTAGGCTTCATCCCAGGGATGCATGGCTGGTTCAACATACACAAGCCTATAAACATAATCTACCACATAAACAGAACAAAAAACAAAAACCACATGATTATCTCAATAGATGCAGAGAAGGCCTTCAACAAAGTTCAACAGTTCTTTATGCTAAAATCTCTCAATAAACTAGGTGTCGACAGAACATATCACAAAATAATAAAAGCTATTTATGACAAACCCACAACCAATATTGTACTGAAAGGGCAAAAACTGGAAGCATTCCCTCTGAAATCTGGCACAAGACAAGGATGCCCTCTCTCACCACTCCTATTCAATATAATATTGGAAGTTCTAGCCATAGCAATCAGTCAAGAAAAAGAAATAAAGAGTATTCAGTTAGGAAAAGAGGAAGCCAAATTGCCTCTCTTTGCAGACGACATGATTGTATATTTACAAGACCCCATCATCTCAGCCCAAAATCTCCTGAAACTGATAAGCAACTTCAGCAGAGTCTCAGGATACAAAATCAACGTGCAGAAATCACAAGCATTTCTATACACCAGTAACAGAGAGCCAAATCATCGGGGAACTCCCATTCACAATTGCTACAAAGAGAATAAAATACCTAGAAATACAACTAACAAGGGATATAAAGAACCTCTTTAAGGAGAATGACAAACCACTGCTCCAGAAAATCAGAGAGGACACAAACAGATGGAAAAACATTCCATGCTCATGGTTGGGGAGAATCAACATTGTGACAATGGCCATACTGCCCCAAGTTATTTATAGATTCAGTGCTATCCCCATCAAGCTACCAATGACCTTCTTGACAGCACTGGTGAAAACTACTTTAAACTTCATGTGGAACCAAAAGAAAGCCCGTATAGCCAAAACAGTCCTAAGCAAAAAGAACAAAGCTGGAGACATCATGCTGCCTGACTTCAAACTATTCTACAAGGCCACAGTAATCAAAACAGCATGGTACTTGTACCAAAACAGAAACATAGACCAATGGAACATCACAGAGGCCTCAGAAGCAACACCACACATCTACGATAATCTGACCTTTGACAAACCTGAGAAAAGCAATGGGGAAAGCATTCCCTGTTTAATAAATTGTGTTGGGAAAACTGGCTAGCCATGTGCAGAAAGCAGAACGTGGACCCCTTCCTGACACCTCATACTAAAATTAACTTCAGGTGGATTAAAGATCTAAACATAAGACCTAACACCATAAAAACCCTAGAATAAAACCTAGGCAATACCATTCAGGACATAGGCATAGGGAAGGACTTCATGGCTAAAACACCGAAAGCAATGGCAACAAAAGCCAAAATAGACAAATGGGATCGAATTAAACTCCAGAGTTTCTGTACAGCGAAGGAAACAGTCATTAGAGTGAACCAGCAATGAACAGAATGGGAAAATTTTTTGCAATCTACCTATCTGACAAAGGGCTAATATCCAGAATCTACAAAGAACTGAAACAGGTTTTCAAGAAAAAAGGAAACCCATTCAAAACTGGGCAAAGGATATGAACAGACACTTTACAAAAGAAGGTATCTGTGAGGCCAAGAAACATATGAAGAAATGCTCATCATCGCTGGTCATTAGAGAAATGCCAAATCAAAACCACATTGAGATACCATCTCATGCCAGTTAGAATGCCGATCATTAGAAAATCAGGACACAACAGATGCTGGAGAGGATGTGAAGAAATAGGAACACTTTTACAGAGTTTGTGGGAGTGTAAATTAATTCAACCATTGTGGAAGACAGTGTGGCAACTCCTCAAGGACCTAGAAATAGAAATTCCATTTGGCTCAGCAATCCCATTACCGGGTATATATCCAAAGGATTATAAGTTGTTCTGTTATAAAGACATATGCACC